TATGCCAAAATATAGTACATCATTTGCGCATCAGCACTAATAGTTATCGTTTGCGCATCATCCTTTTTACTTGCACCAAATTATCACACATCAATTGCGCATTAACATGCTGAACAATATAATGGTATAAAAAAATAATTTTTGATTGAAAATTTAATGATTTTCATAAATCATATGTTATAACTAGATACAAATAATTAAAAATAAATTGAACTGTAGTAATAATCATATAAATAATACACATATTGAAATGAACACTTTTGTTAGCACATTACAGTCATAGTTAAAATACAAAATATACATTAGTTCGAGTAAAAGTGAATTGAAAATAATAACATTTCGAACACATAAATACGATCTCACATGTATTTAGAATTGTTCTTTCCGTATAAAAATACTTTTGGAGAATTATTCCATCTTTTCCACAATTTGAATTATCAATTTTTTAACTCATTCTTACATTTATTCAAAAGTTAAAATTACAATATAATAATATTATAATGTTCACATCTCGTTTGTCTCGTAAAGCCGTAGATACGTTTCGACAGTATCTCTACGTTTTACTATCCAGTATTTTGTTATCTCGTTTCATATACTTTTGCGATAAAAATCGATTAGTCAATCGCACATCTTAGTTGCGTTATTGCAAATTACGTATATAATATTATCACAATATTATGCATCATAATATTACCTATTATAATATATTTAAAACAAAAATATCTATACAATATTTGAAAATTGGGTGTTACAAGAGTAAATTTGGAGATGTACAATTTTTAAAATCAAAGTTAAAAATAACTAGCGCTTTTGGACATACACTTTTGTTTTAGTTTATTGTTAAATAATATTGATGCGCAAATGATGTAAGATCTTTTAAACGGCTGATATGTAAATAATGTATAACCAAAAAATCGAACGATGCTTAACTGTTTTACAAAAAAGGTTAAAATTAACAATAGCGATGCACAAATCAGTGGATTTCCACGTATCTATTACCAAATCGTCCAAATCTATATTTTAATCGTATTTACAAGTGTTCAAATTAATATTTAGAACAATATCATTCACGTATTATAAGTCGTTATAAACGTATATATTTATACATAATTTGAAACAACAAACTTACAAATTATAACAAATTAACTACTTTTAGTTAAACAAAATTGTTCAAAATCCCTTTTTTGAGGTGTCAGGCGATGGCTCTCAAGGACCGACCTAAAAATTAATCAAACTCTATAATTTTTCTTTAAAAAATCAAATTTATTAATTTTACATAAAAAGCTAGATCAAAAAATATTATTGGTTATAGCTAATGGCCGTTGTAGCTAAGTGTATTGTGATCAATAAAAAAAAAAATTCAATGGATTGAAGCTTTACAATACTTTTTTTAAAAGTCTCGTAAAAGACATTTATTTTAATCAAATGACAAATATTATCACAAAAGCTTAAAGAATTTGGATTTAAAATCTATGTACATTAAATTGGTTTATTATAGTTGCTTAAATAACAGGCAACAATAAATTAATTACTATTGGATTTTATTAAATTAATTGTTCTTATGTCAAAGATTATAGAATTACACAAGGTAAATGTTTTTAGGCCACATTAATCTGTTTATTAACTCAATACTTGCATCATTATTAAAAACGTAAAATATTCATGAAATACATCTATTTAATGTCTAATACAATTGGAATGAATCAAAATAAACTATCGAAATTTATCTAACATATCCATGAGTGGATGTGTAAAAATAATTTACATAAATACTCGTAAGTTAATTATAAGTTAAATATATACATAGAATGTGTAATATTCGATACTATTATATCATGGTATGACGTGTTTGAGTCTTGGGATGTACTAATAAAACAATTAATATTTACACAAAAACTATTTAGTGCTGTGTAAAATTACACAGCACTAAATAGTTAAAGAATTTCCACTAATTACATGATGGAAACAATATTTAATAATTTAGAATTTGATGTAAAAGTTCTAAGAAAATGTTTATGTTAAATTCATTCATCTATAATACTAATAGACAATAAACAATGTCCAATGATATAAATAAAATAACATGTAAGAAAAATCAATAATTATTAAAATAATTAATGACTTTGATCAAAAAGTGTGTATCGTTTAAATTATAAATTTCGATATGTGTAATTATAAGTATAAATATTTACACATATTTCCAATTTGATTATACGTAAAATATATGTTGATTTTAAATAATATTATATCATTTGTAGTTTAAATATGTCTGCCTCTATTTATAAATTATTTCATATAATTTCAATGGTATGGAAATTTAATTTTAAAACAAATTATACATACCTAGAAATTCTGTTTATAAGATACAAGCTATTAATTTTTTAATTTATGTATCAACTAAATAACTCTAATTTTCTTCACGTTAACATTTGTATCTATTAAATTATGCTGAAATAAAAATAACGATAATAATTACTAAAATGGTTTTAAAATAGTTCATTATTTAATATAAGTAGATATTTATCTATAGATTATTATTATAATTATTTTTTTTATTTCAATGGTCAAATTATTCAGATTTCAGTGAATTAAATATAACAAAACGAACGGGGATGTTATTATGATGTCAATGATTACATCATTGTTTAAAACGACGCTCCGTTTCGTGATTCCTGGTTAGGAACAATAAACATTTAATTATAATAATATTGTACGCATAAAATACACAATACATAATATATAAATCACTTAAGCGCACTATATGATGTTTACATACCCGACAAAATGGTTAACACTATAGAATACTCAAAATAGCACACACAATGACAATATTATAGATTGTAATAAATTAATTACGATGTAGGTATGATCAAAACGCTCACAATAGAGACAATAATTTACTGTCTTTATAAATACCTGTCATTTGCCAAGACACTGAGGATACTATGATATGTGACCGCGCGTATCACAGAGTCACAATTTTCCAGAGTTCTGTAATTTAAGTGATCGAAATTTTGATTCTCTTATTGTATAGTGTACACATATTTTAAGAAATAATCACTGAAATCATTATATTTTATTTAAGTTATCTTTAAGATCTCTGTGCACAATACCTACTCCTTGATGATAACGATTGTAAAACTTACTAAAATTGGCAATCTTTTTCTCCTGGTAGCTTATTAATTAACGTAAAACAGAGTAAAATTCGTAAATTACGTTTCACATGCTCAAAATGTTTATTTTAATGTATTATAATAATATGAAATTATTCATATCAGATTCAAAGTTGACAATGTTTACAAGCAAATTATGATAGAATATATTAATTGATGACAGTGATAAATTGATTCGGAAAAGTTCTTCTGTTATATTATTGTTAATCATGAAAAACCTTCTCAGAACTACATTGGTTAAATATATAAAATAAATAACCAAGTAAAATCCTAATATCTTAAATTTTCTTAAATTACATTAAAATACGTTTATCGTTTTATAATACCTTTCGCCGAACTCTTCTAAATTATTTAAGTACCGTTCGTCACTGCCACTTTATTATTAACTATATTTTATACTAACTATGCATAATATAATAAAGTACACAGGATTAATTTAATTAAAAATAAAACGATTAGTACTATAGAAATGAAAAGTGGAGGTAAGATATTACAACAAAACATGCTCAATTTTTTACCAAATCTATTTAAAAAAATTTAATTTAGCAAACATGTATACATATATATATATATATATGTAATAATGATTACATATTAATTACATGTAAGATCTAACTACAAAAGTAAAATATATTTACATGCTTTTACATTACTTTTATTAAAAGGTTAAATTAAAAGTTAGAACTCAATAATATTTTACTTAACTAGATAATTAAAATCTATATCCGTCAAAATATAATAAACTCAACTTCATTAACTAGCTAATTATAGTTATAAATATTTGTTAGAAATTAAGTTAAAATTAGTTTAAAAAAATAACAAACATATTTTATAAATACCTCATTAAAATTTGTAAAATGTATTGGTTTTAATTATTTTAAAGCACACAAAAACTAACCAATGATTAGAATCGGGCTATTACAATTATTGCTTATTGTGATCATTGAATACAGATACACAAAGAAAATAACTTTTAACTTAATACATTAAAATATTATTGGTAAATAATACTTAATTTTTAATATAGGTAAATACATTGAAAGTAGTTTTTACTCTTCTTAGTAACCAGCCAAGGGGTTTCGTGATGCTCAAATTTTCCTATATAATAGAAGTTGAAGTCTGTAGTAATGCGCCGCACCAAGTGCAAACAAAATAATAAAATTATTATTATAATTTATATCTTAGTGATAAAGTAATACCTATTGAAAAAAAAATAATAAAAATTAAGTATGGACAAATTTTATTCGAACACCTCATTATGGTGGTTGAAAATTATCGAACCAGTATTTCATTTTTAATTCGGTTAAGTACTGCACATTTATTAAATTTACATAGGTTTGTACTAATGAAACCATTAAATTGATATTTTTAATTTTGGATATTTGTAGTTATCAGTACTGGTTGCTGGTTAATGTTGAGTATTATTGCAGAGGAATCTATGTACAACTCAACATTTTAAGAAAATTAAATAAAAATATCTAATTAGGTCGTCAATAGAAATATACCCGTCTGCCGTGATATTTTTAACTCTTTCGATTCAAAACAGCTAAAGTGATTATAAAAAAATAAAATGAATGTATCTATATAGTGGAAAATAACTAAACAAAAGAAAAAAATATGAACCATATTAATTGTTTAAATAATTATGGATATGTATACTTATAAACATAATACAAGTAGAAATATAATATTTATGTGTGTGTGTGTGTGTGTGTGTGTGTTTATATATGTATACAATATATACTAAACAGACAAAATCAAACTGTCAAGGGAAGGGAAAATATAATATAAGTGAGCTATTATTGAGGTCCAATTACATTACTGTTCGTTCTTACGTAGTATATGCTACTTGTTATTCGGTCTTGTGTGAAGTGTAGTGAACTACGAAAATGTATACACGCATACTAAAGGTAAATCATAATTTATTAAATAAGTTAGTTTAAGTTACTTTAGAGTACATAATAATATATTCATAAATTAATATAAATTGACAAAAACACGTTAAAGAAAAAAAAACCAAACTTAAAATACTGTTAGCAAAATAGTATTCTCATAACATATTACATAGATTAGCTTTAAATTTTGAAAATTGTAATACGAAATTTATAGAACCTAATCTCTTTTCATTGCACATATATATTTTGACATATCATAAGCGTGAATAAAATTGTTCATTACTCTACAACAAACAACTAGTTAGACCTAAAATACATTATAAGTTTTCAGGTTTTATAGTTTATCTTTAAAAGTAATTTTTTATTAAATATTGATAAAGTAAATGAGTACTTATATCTAATTGACTGGAATTAAAATTAGCATTAAGAATTTTATTAGGTTTAACAACTAATACACATTTTTCAAAACAATAAAACCTTCGTTTTCATACATTTTTATAAACTAAGAAGCATAACTTCTAATCAATATATTATTTTTTTTTCAAATTGTGTTTCTACAAATACTACTTAAATTGTAAATTTGACTTGGTTAAAAACTATTACTTAATAATTATATACATATGTACATCGAGTCAAGGCCACCCGCAGAAATTTTTCTTAGGGGGGCCAGCGAAAAATAATACACTTACCATAAATTCTGTTTTTTATATCACATCGTAAAAAAAATTATTTATTTATTTTAATATTGCAAGTGTCACCTTATCAGTTATTAGTCCTCCTTATCGCCCTCCAAGACGCTATATAAAATGCAAATAAATGCAATAAAAATTAGGTAATATCTTAATTAGCAGGGGGCCATGGCCCTCCCCGCCCCCCCCTCTGCGGGCGGGCTTACATCGAGTACATACGTTAACTCAATTTATCGTGACTGACACGATCGAAAAATACTATTCACTATATAATAAATTGTTTCTCCACTCGCTAAGTAAATAATATGAAAAATGTAATTTTTTATTATATTATATTTTAAGCTATATGAATTTTATAAAAATGTATTTGATTATTTAACTTTAAGAAGTTGTATGTAAAAAAAATTGTGATACCTATATAAATAGAAAAAAATTATTTTGTAGAAAAATAGAACTATTATTTTAATTAAAAATCAAATTCAATTTCAGGTATTTCAAGTATTTCAGATAATTATGCCACTTAATATTTAAAATTATATCTAACAAATTAGATGTCATTAAGTCATTATTTTTTTCGTATAAATGAATAGAAAATTTATAGGTTTTAACCTTTATTTTTTCAAATAATAAACCTGAATATTTTATACAATATTCAAAAGTCTTTAATACAAATTATCAAAATCTTATTTGAAAAATTCCACTTTAAATATCTAATTGTATTTTAACAATAACTAAATTCCATTAGATGGTAAAACAGTATTAATAATAGTTACTAATAAATTATTTTTTATATTAATAACAGCAAGATAATAATTTATTTTATAACTTTAAATTTGATTTAGACTATAAAATATATGTAGTGTCTATAACAATTAAAATTATATACAATTATAAGGTCACAAAAAAAATTTCTTCTTTTTCTTCTTCGAATTCAAAATGAAATATTTTTTTTTAGTTGAATAAAATAATGCTTAAGATTTTTAAAACTGAAGTTGGGAGTAAAATAATTTATATTTACTATACACCCATTTCCTTTTATACATCGACATTCGATAACCTGTCGACGTTTTGTATGCTGAACTAACTATATGGCACATGAGAGGAAAAACGAAATTAGGTAATGTCATATTATGCTGTGTTTTCAGAGTAGCTATTTTTTTAGCGTCACACGAAGATTTGACCAAATATAATACACAAAGAAAATAGGAGAGTTTCGGTAATATACAGTAAAACACTGTCTAATACCTATGTAGAAATAAAATCTGCGTGCTTAGTTCCCGTGTCCAAGTTAGTAATACACACACGTAATAATTAATTTTTTCCGGGTTTGAATTCCATTTCGTTATTGTGTATGAAATAGATTTAATATTAAATAATAAGATACGTGACGAACTAAGGAAAAGGGGGTGGGGAAAATGGATGAAACAAAAAAAAAACTCACATTAAACGTTTTCAAAATCTAATATATATTAAAAAATAAATAAATATTATACGTTGGTATGGATCACATATCACATCATCATATTTATCCTCGTTTATGAAATAATCGCTTACTAAATATAAACCCAACACATATGCCCAAAACCTGCTTAAATTTTAAAACTTACTTTTTTAATAATTTAAAAACAAATATAGATATTTAAGTGGATACTTCAATTTTTTAAATATTTATACAAAACTAAATCAATTTATTGCTCGCTCTTCGGAACTTAAAGAGACATGAAAACATACAATTGATTTCGATAATTTTAACTGTTAAATATTATGTCTTGAATATAATATTAATCATTAGAAGTAGTGAAACGCCCTTTATATTATACAGTTAAAATTCTCCGTTAAAAATTGAATTATATCAATATGCATATTATAACTATTCACTGCAGTGTGCAAAAGCTTAAACCTAAACTATTGGTAGTAGCACCTACCTACCACTAACAATATAATACTTAGATACGCGCAATGCAAGTATAGGCAGTTGGCTTAAACTGAACCGCTGCTTTAAATCGCGATGATAATATGCTAAGAAACGGTATAAGATCTTAATTATTACCATACCTACTGTGAATAATACTCGGTCTACAACGTTTCACATCGAATGCAATATTTTTTATATTTTACAATAAATGGTTTCGGAGAAGTCGGAAATCCGCAATTCACCTGCACTCTGCAACGTACAATTTTTGCAACCCCAGCTAGTATATAACATATTGTATAACAACAAAATAAACGTACAAAATGTGTGTACAAACATTCTTGCGGCTCCTGTGACAAAAATGTTGAAACACTGTGATAGTAACATATTATAAGAACATAACATATAGACACCGCGACTACTAAGGATTATTAAAAGAGTATAGAATAGATAAAAAGCAAAGTGCGCGATTTTATTATTTGACTGGAAATTTCGTTTTGCAATTATGATAATAAATCGATGTAATACGCCACATAATCGTAGCGTTGTTAAAAAATGTTATATTATTTTCACCATCGTGAACGTATATGTGTAATAAATATCGTTGCGGAATTACAGTAAGAGCGGATACTATACTGATCAAATTATAGCAACACTAGTATAAATAACCCACTATAGGCTCAGCGGCACGTTCTAACGAATTTTCACAATAATAAATAATATTATGTCCACACACAAGCGCACAACCGAACGTTGGTACAATAACATATACGATAAGAAATTCGTACCATGACGAAATGGCTCTTTCGTGTAAAAGAGAAGAGTTTTCTTTTACGATGCTTAACACAATATTTTGATCGAGGAAACGTTCAATTAAAATTTAAGAAACCAAATATAATTTAATACGAAATTACTGGTGGGCGTATGCGTCACCATCATAAACCTCGGTATATTATGGTATATTATATATTATCTTTAAAATTAAAATTATAATTCGACCGTTACCTATATATTTGAATATTATTGACATTCCTAAAAAGTAAAACTAAAATGATTAAATGTTGAAATTAAATTATTGAATCTTCTCTTGGTAATTTAATTTATTACAATTTTACAATAATCATAATTAATTAATTAATTAGTTAATAGCAAATTTAAAAACACGAAATTAAGTACCTAACGGTTTTTTTTTTTTCAAATAATTTGATTTAAATGATTGACTCGTTTTAAATCAAATTAAACTTTCAAAATAATAAAAAATTAAGAACAAAGTAGATTTATTTGTCGTCTATAACGCCTTATTTAACTAATCAGATACGTGTATTAAATATAAATCGACTTAATTGACCAAGTTTCATTGTTGTAGATATCGTATTCCAATAATATTAAAAATAATTAATAATTTCAAATAAATCATTCAAAAGTGTAAGTTTAACATTTGGAAAAATGTGTTGTGGAGTTGAAGTTATAGACTTAATATTTTATTAATGATTATTAATATTTCACATTTTTAATGGCTAAATAATAATAAAGTATTTATTTAATTAAAATGTAAAAATCAATTGTTTATAGTTTAAAATATAAGAATATTTATTAGCAGTAAGTTAATTAATGACCTTTGTAGGTAGGTTATTAATTATTGTTTCAAAACCATAAGTTAGGTGTCATTTATGTTACTATTTATTATTATTAGGGTTGGATTGTTTATGATTTTGCATATTTTTTATGTTGTCCGATAGCTTCTATTCTTATATAGAAATGTTTTTCATGGTATCAAAATATCAAAATTATATTATGCATATTATTGCATACCTATTTTACCATTTTTTATTAATAAATGTATAATTTGTGTTTTTCTGTTTTTAAGCACATAATTGACGGTTTTCAATACAAAATGCTGAAAAATACCGTAATTTTATGTTTTATAAACTAAACCTAATATAAGTTTAATTATCTGTATTTTTCAAAGTATTTTACAAACTCTAATAGATTCAAAAACATATTAACACCAAATAGACGAAGTTTTACAACAAAATATTCAAAATAAACCACAATATAATTATTCAATACAACTCTTTTTTAAATGTATTTTTTTTTTTATATATTTTAATTAATTTTATATACTTAATGAGAAAATTCAAAAACTTAGTAAACAATAACGATAGCGCATACAATACGATAGTACCGACCATTTGTTTTTATTCTATTAATAATTAAATTTATCTCTATATATTTATTGTATTTTTTTGTCCACAATTCTTTAATTTTGAATGCATATTTTTCAAATTTTTCATGCATATTTAACTATTTTTTAATGCATAAACATCCTAACCCTAATTATTATACTAAATTAATATATATTATTGTATATTTTAAAAATTTATAAAAAAGAATAATAATAGATACAATTTTCAAGAATATTATAAAAAAAAAGTTATTTCTTAAATAATTATAAGTTATAACATAAAAATAAGTACTTTTCTAAACTTACAACATTTGATATTGTTGTTTTCATTTTACATCCAATATATAAATTATATGATTTATTTTGAATTTGATTAATTTTAAACATACAATAAGTCCTCGTTTAACGACACCTCATTTAGCGTTGTTTCATCATTGAGTCATAGAAGTATAAATACTTGTGTTTCGTTTAACACTGCAACAGTTTCAGTAAAACTTCGTTTGTAATAGAGTTTAGATATTGTATCCGGCACAATAATCAGGTAAAAAAAATTAAAATTGGACATAACTTATTATTGCAATCATTGAAAATATACCTATTTATCAAAATGTTTTAGTTTTTATTAATTATTTATCTGAATAAAGTATGATCATTGAATGAAATTATTTTATTTGGTTATTTTTACACATATAATGACAACATTTTTAATATTTGGTTCATTTACAAATTTGTAGGAAGTTTTTTTCGTTTCCTATAAAATTTAATAAAATGGACTTATCTTAACATTTTTCGGTTAACGTCGTGTTTGCTAGGAACCTAACCTCGACGTTAAACGAGGACTTACTGTATTATTTTATCAATATATTTATTTTTACAATCTATATTCAATATTGTAAAATACAAATAGTTATTTATTTATTATTTTTTTTTTTAACCATTACAGGCTATTTAAGTCCTTTTCTGTCAATACTAAATTCTTCCATTTCTCTTTATTGTACACACAGTTCACGTTTTCGTTCCAATCTGGTCTCAGCTCGTTAATATCTCTTATGACTGTATCCAACCACAGCCGTACATCATTTGCGCATCAATGCTAATAATTATCGTTTGCGCATCATCCGTTTTACTTGCACTAAGTTATCACGCATCAATTGCGCATTAACATGCTGAACAATATAATGGTATAAAAAATAATTTTTGATTGAAAATTTAATGATTTTCATAAATCATATGTTATAACTAGATACAAATAATTAAAAATAAATTAAATTGTAGTAATAATCATATAAATAATACACATATTGAAATGAACACTTTTGTTAGCACATTACAGTCATAGTTAAAATACAAAATATACATTAGTTCGAGTAAAAGTGAATTGAAAATAATAACATTTCGAACACATAAATACGATCTCACATGTATTTAGAATTGTTCTTTCTGTATAAAAATACTTTTGGAGAATTATTCCATCTTTTCCACAATTTGAATTTTCAATTTTTTAACTCATTCTTACATTTATTCAAAAGTTAAAATTACAATATAATAATATTATAATGTTCACATCTCGTTTGTCTCGTAAAGCCGTAGATACGTTTTGACAGTATCTCTACGTTTTACTATCCAGTATTTTATTATCTCGTTTCATATACTTTTGCGATAAAAATCGATTAGTCAATCGCACATCTTAGTTGCGTTATTGCAAATTACGTATATAATATTATCACAATATTATGCATCATAATATTACCTATTATAATATATTTAAAACAAAAATATCTATACAATATTTGAAAATTGGGTGTTACAAGAGTAAATTTGGAGATGTACAATTTTTAAAATCAAAGTTAAAAATAACTAGCGCTTTTGGACATACACTTTTGTTTTAGTTCTATTGTTAAATAATATTGATGCGCAAATGATGTAAGATCTTTTAAACGGCTGATACGTAAATAATGTATAACCGAAAAATCAAACAATTCTTAACTGTTTTACAAAAAAGGTCAAAATTAATAATAGTAATGCGCAAACGACAATCGCCGCCAACCACTGTTTCAATCTACCACTTGGTCTTTTGGTCTTTTTCTGTTTAATTTGTTTCAAGTACCAACCGTCTTGACAATACTGTTGTCAACTCTCCAGACGTGACCTTTCTACTCCAAATAGTTCTTAAACAAATAATATTAAACTCTCAATAATCAAAAATCGAAAAATGAAAATAATGTATGTATTTGAATTACCTAGTAAATTTCTAATAAATTAATTAAGACCAATATAGTTTTAAGCATTAATAATTCATATAAATTATATAATCTACTAAAACTAATATTATGATTTTATTATAAATTAATAAAAATATTTATCACTACAAAATCAGTCTACAATATTATATTGTAATGTTATTATTAGTAATTTTCATAACCTTATTCAGGGACGATCTAAGAAAAATCATAGGGGGTGTAATCTTCAAAATTGCCGACTAAAACTTGAATTACCAAATTTTTGTTAGCTACTAAATCAGAGGTTCTCAAACTTTTTATGGCACTACCTATTTTGGAAATTATTTAAATTTTGGCACAATAACATGATGGATGTATCTAGTTTTTTAATTTGATGACCATTTTTTTTATGCTTTGCTTTTCCGATTTAAATGTTTGGGAACTTTATACTAAATTACTTTTCATTTCATTCTGCCAACTAAAAATCAAACATTGCTAAGTAGAGGGTGTAACCCCTCCCTCATGACATCCTTGAACTTAATGTATAATTTATGGAAATTTTCAATTAATCGTCAAACTTTTAACCAAATTTAAGTATTGAATATTGCAGAAAAATGTTTGTTAAATTAATAATTTATTTGCTTTGATCAAAAATTTAAAATAATTATACATCTTATAGATATTTATTAAAATTGAAGTATTCTTTAAAATTATTTATAAATCAAATAATAATATTTACAATGGTTTAAATTTCTGACAAAATAGTATTATTTTTTATTACACACTCATCAACATCCATAAATTCTACGAATTATGCACCATTTATATTATATTATATAAATAAAGTCTACTAGTAACTAAACAAAACGGTTGAAATTCAATATTGTAAATTTATAAGACCATTGTTATTTATTTACATTATGAATCTTCTACTACATTTACAAACAAAGAAAATGTAACTGGTTAAATATATATGGCGTATAGCTAAACAATATAAGAAATAGATGTATACTGTATAATATAGTATAATTTTTAATATAATATTAAATAAAAATTTAAATTCATACACGTGTTCCAACCTTACTAAACAAACCTTACACAAAAAAATCAACTGTTCATATTCACAGCTAATGAACTTAGTTATTGGATTTAGAAAAAAAAATTAAAATCTTATAGTAATAATAGTAATATATGATTTAGAAATTAATATATAGATAAATCGATAAATTAATTTTAAAAAAAATAATTATTTACAAATTTAACAATGTAAATAAATTTTTTCAAATTATTTATTTATTCAAAATATAATTTATACTGAATATTTGATTTAATTATACACTTAATAAATATTTTTGATAATGCATTTTATTAAACTACTGCATGTATTTATTAGGTGCTATTTTATTTGTTTAATAATCCATAGCAATAACCTTATATTTCTGCCAACGATACATATATAAGTAGATGACACACATTTTACATAGGTAATTATGTTAATATGTATTTGATATTTAGCAAAATATCCATACTAGCAATGGTAACAATAATTAAGTGAATTTTTCAATAACATTTATAGTATATATATATATAATATACAGTATCAGTAGGATTGTCTATAATTTATTGAGATGCTACATAATATATATTAAAATGAATTGCCTTCTACACGTATATTTCTACTAAGGATTTTCAAATATTCGTTTATTAGAAGGAAAACTCCTTTTTTAAATAATATTATACAATGAAACCTCTGAATAGCGGACACTCTTGGTCACTGAAATTTTTTCCGTTTCAGAATGGATACATTTTTGAAATTCATAAAGCGTAAAATAAAATTAAATAATGTACATACCTACTATGTATGTATGTATATGTTGTATAATATTATTATTTATTGCAAATTATTATTAATTAAATATTATTATTTAATTATATTTTTACAGTCAATAATTACATATATATTTTTTAATTAAGTACAAGTATTTTTTAAATTATTTTTGTGAGAAATAATCGGTGAGCTTTATCTGTTTATAATTACATCGTCTCTGTGCAATCTTAATAGAAATATAATTCGCTTAAGTTACAACAGAAGTAAAAATAGTACTGCTTTTTACCTATATTAATGAAATAACTTACATTCTTTACAGTAGACAAAACGCCTTGTAAACTTTTTATTTGATAGAGAACCATCACCATGAGTGTTTCACTGATAACCGAATTCGTCGTTATTTTATCGTCCCATAACGAGTTAATTGTCGTAATTACATTATTATGAGATTACATATGAATGTGAATACGTATTGTTTTTAAATAAAATTAAAAATAATGTCCGTATTCGGAGAGTCCGCTATTAGGAGGTGTCTGTCATAGTAAAGGTTTCACTGTATATTGTATTAAAGTATATATCTATATTAGGTATATAATAATAAATAGAATGTATTTTCTTAACTACTGCAGAGTGCAGAGTAATTATACCTATTAAATTAAAATATTTTTTTAGGTAATAGATTTAAACGCATCAAAAATGTGGTACTTTACTGTTATTTCACTGATAATTATATTAGTAGTAGTCATGATACTACGATTAGAAGGTAGAAGAAAAAGAATATTGGCAAACAAAATACCAGGTCCCGATGGTTCGATTTTTATTGGCATGCTACCATTATTTCTACAAGGACCAGAAAAAATTATCACAAATGGATTAAAAGTATACCAAAAGTAAGTCTTTATAACACCCTTTATAACCTTAGTACACCATATTATATAACATTAAATTTGTATATGTAAATTGAAATTTCATAAGTTCATAACTAAGTCATATTATTATATAATTGTATTTATTTTTTAGTGACAATGCAATAAAAATATCTAATTCTTTTAAAATAAAAATCTAAGTAAACCCTATAATTCTACAAATACTTTTCTTTTTTTTTCTTTGGGGACCATTGAGGTATTTTACAGCTTCTAACTTCTACCAAGTTCCTCCGCCTATTACGATCAGTAGCAGTCTCAAAGCTTGCTGCTCCGTCTACCACTCTTAAATCTGCATTGACTTTATCCCACCATCGTTCCACACATACTTAACCAATATTAATGCATAAATTAATTTAATAACGAAACTTTTGAACATTTTCTAGATTTGAAAAGTCTTTATTTAAAGTATGGATCTTAAACAACCTATATATTGTACTTACACGACCTGAAGATATAGAATTTGTCCTTACAAATCCAAAATTGCAAAAGAAATCTAAAGAATACTTGGTTTTACAAGAATCCATTATGGGCCAGGGAATATTTTCAATCGATGACATAAAAAAATGGAAAAGTAATAGGTAAACTTTAATTTATTTTAAGCATAGAATACAGTACATAATGGTAAAATTATAAACACAAACGTATGATATATTTCATATTAAGTAAAATACGATTAATTATTATAGACTATAATGACTTTACATAAAACTAAAAAATAAATTGTAATTTTTTATATTTTATTTTAGGAAAATGGTATCCGGAGGCTTTAATTTTAAAATTATAAAATCATTTATACCTATATTTTACGAAGAATCTAATGTCCTCAATGACATACTGAAACAAAAATATGATTTTAAATCAAATGAATGTGATATAAGTGTTCCTATTAGTATGGCTACAATGGAAATGATCGGTAAAACTGCACTAGGAGTAAAATTTAATGCTCAAAATGGTGGTCGTCATCGATTTGTGGAAAATTTACAAACAGCCATGATTGTAAGAAAATGTTGTTATGGTTGTATTATTATTTATTTATTTTAAATATCATTCACAAGCTATTATTTTAGGCATGGGAATATAGAATTTCACATCCGTGGTATTTGAGCAAAACATTATTCCGACTTTCATCAGTTAATCAAAAACACAATCAAAGTCAAAAAATCATAAACGATTTTACAGATGAAATAATTAATAAAAAACTCAATGAATTGAACCAAAATGCGAATAATAAAAAAACAGAATTTGATGATGAAGATATTTGTCGAAAAACCAAAACGGTTATAGAAATTTTATTAGGAAACTATCATGAAATGTCACATGAACAAATACGAGATGAACTTGTAACCATCATGATTGGTGAATACAAAAAAATAAATTAATAAACATATTTAGTACTTGTTTGTTGTATAATAGCTTGCACAAACGTTCAAAACACCAAATTAATTTTTTCAACTATTGATGAAAATTTTTAGTAGAATCAACTTCTAAACAGTATAATTATAAATTATTATAGTATTATCTAATATAAATTTCATAATGATTCTTTAAAAAACTTTAAATCGATAATTATTAACTTTATAATATTTTATCTTATTAGTTTTCATGTGTTAAAAATATATTTATTATTTATATGCCACGACCGCCTATCTAATTTAATCATGAAAATTTTCTCAACTTAATGAATTAAATGAGATGATTTTTCTTATAACAGAATATTCTCAAGTATAAATAAAAAATGTTTATATTTATTTGCATTCAAGTTAAATTACAGTTAATATTCATTTTAGGAGGACAAGAAACTACTGCTATGGCCAATGCATGTGCAATTTTTATGTTAGCTCATCATCCAGATGTACAGAACAAGGCAAATATATTAAGCCAATTATTTATGTCCACAACTTTGTTTACTTAAATCATAGTTATTTCTTTAAGTTATAGGTGTTTGAGGAACTGCAATCGATATTTTTGATTGGCGATCAGAATAGATCACCAACATATGAAGATTTACAACAAATGGAATATCTAGAACGAGTGATCAAAGAGACACTACGAATTTTCCCTTCTTTACCTGTGTTCGGTAGAAGTTTAGATGAGGAGATGAAAATCGGAGAATATTTATGTCCAGCCGGTAATTTAGTACTTAACTACTAAATTTAATATTTTAAGATAACTTATATCAAAAATTAAATTCAAATTATTAAGGTTCAACGATAATGATCAGTCCACTATTTTTACAATCGAGTACGCAGTACTACACTGATCCAGAACAGTTTAATCCAGACAACTTCTTACCAGACACGTGTCGCAGCCGACATCCATATACATTTATACCATTTAGTGCGGGATACAGGAACTGTATCGGAATCAAATATGGCATGCTCCAAATGAAAACCGTTTTATCGACACTTGTGCGAAAAAATATATTTTCTCCTTCGGACAGATGCCCCACACCAAAACACCTAAGAGTAATGTTTTTAACGACACTTAAATTTGTCGACGGTTGTTACGTCAAAATAGTACCAAGAAATTCGTAAAATGAATAATACAATAAAATAATGCACATTTTGTTCATTAATTTAATGAAAATATGTAATAGAATTTTTGATACTTGAGAAATTGAAATAACTCGATTTTCATACAGTATTAATTAGTTATATCTTATATATATTATAAAATACATAAACATTAGCAAAACTATGGGTCAGATCACTCACACCATGACCTGACAAAATTCCGTTATGTTATTGTTTTTAGAAATGATACAGATAAGAAACATAATAATGTACCTATTTTTTTTATTTTTTTTTTATTGATCTTATTTTAAGCCCGACAACTAAGGCCATTAGCTGTGGATAGGAACAGTAGGTTTTTTTTTGTGTAAGGTTTATTTGGAAAGTTTGGTTAGTACGTTTGGAATACGTATGTGTTACCTATTATTTATAAAAAAAAAATGTATTTAAAAATAACTAAAATATCGTTTTGTAATTATTTTCACGAAAATGATAAATATTTATTTTTATTGCTGTTTACCATAATAATATATAATATAGCATGTATAATATTAACTTTTTCTACCTGATAGATGTAATTATTTATAAAATGTAAAAAATAAAAATAAAGTTTTAAAATATTTTATTGAAATCAATGTTATGATATGCTCACACATAATAATTTATTGTATATTTTATAATTTCATTAAATAAATAACGGTAAAGTTATAACACGCAAATAGCCCTCAATAAAAATAGATAATCCCTATTGATCATTGAAAAGAGAAACGATTTACATTATTTGGTCACGTAGGAACTCACACGTTATTGCGACAATATGGCGCAAAGCGTGTGATCTATTTTCGTGTGGCGCCAGAGACAAGGGATGGTCCAATGAAGCTCTCCGTCGTCGAGGAGAAAGCCGATTTCTCTAAGGACGTGAAGACCTTTGTTGGAGCTTCCTGCGGCTCTGGCTGTTTTGACCACGTCGTCTTCTCTCACCAGTGTAGGCGCACCAGACAAGCGAGCAGGAGCTCTACTCAAAAACCACCACACACCTTACCTACAAGATTCTGTGAACGATAGCTGAACTTCTTTTTTTATAAGTTAAATCAGAGTTGTTTTTCTTATTTAAACTTAAGTTTTTTTTAAGTCGTATCGTAATTTGTGTCTTCTTGCATCTTTCTCCGAGGAACGTACTTATAGTATTCATTGCGACGAATCAGGTAAGATGCATATTGTCTAAAATACTTATTGTTAGTACAGATTCTTTTACTATCTAATTTGTGTAACGGTGTATTTGATCATATTCTCGAATCACGATCTCGAGAGCCTTCCGAAGAACAGGAGGAAGGTAATAATACGAGAACAAGTATATTCAATAATTATTAATACCAGACTTACATACAAGGCTTGTGTCCCTTGTGTCAGTCCGGCCGCATCTCCTTCCCTTTTTTGCCTTATTTTTAACTACTATATTTTTTATTTATTTTGCTTTATTTTCTCATTATTACATCAAGAAATAAGAATTAATTTTTTTTTCGATTTAATTTATTTGTATATATTTATTTCAATATAATATACTATGATTGTGGAGGGATTTGTACAATATGTTTTTGTCAAATATACGCCTATTAGCTATACAAATAAGTAATCAGAAAAACGGTTGTGGCTGATGTCGATAAACAGTATTTTCATTACGATGACAATTTATCTTCTTTGAAAATAGGCTGTGACATTTAATAATTTTATAACTAAAATACTTTCTGGGAATTAAATGTAAGCTTAAATGTATTAGGGTAGTGTGACTATAATGAAAAAGTTCTAAAATCTAAGACCCTCTCAACAAATTAAAAATAGGAATGTACATGATATTACGACTTATTGTTCTACTCGATTCTGAAACATATGTAATATGAAAAACCGAAGAACTAATGGAGAAAATTGTACAATTATAAGCTCCAAACGCAATTTCAAATACCTAACATAATAAAATATTACAAAAAGAAGACTGACGTGAGCGGACCACACCTAGCATAAATAACCCTAGTTAAACCAGGGGCATCAATTAAGGTTAGGTATTGCAGGGTATGCTTATGCATACCTTAAATTTATCAAGATGCAATTTAGCCTGACTAATTTTTCTGCGCGCTGGACAAAAACCATTTATATTTTTTTATATATAATTAGTCTCAAATCTCAAGCATCGGCAAGACCAAATTAACGTATAAGCAGTATAGGCAATTGCCTAGGCCCTAGATGATAAATTTTAAAGGACGCAAAACAGAATCTGATACCAAGTCCTATTTTTTATTTATTTATTTATTTTTTTTTTAACGGATTTTGCATTGAATTTTATTGAAAATTTACTAAAAAATGCCTAATTGCTTAAATATATTATTTTTTTTTTTTAATTGAAATAAATAATAATTAGTTTATTTTTATCTGATTTTCCATTTATTGTGTATTATTTAACACTCAAGATATCAAAAAAACTTGCAATATTGTAGCCAAAAAGTTAGAATAATTTTTATATTTTATATTTCTTACAAATTTATAATGAATAATTATTTATATTGTCATACATTTTTAATTTTTAACTTAGGTTTGTTTCGAATGTTAAAAATTACTGAATTTTCACAGACGAATGCAACCATTTTGTAATCCCTTTTATCAAAGATAGAATTTAAAAATACTGAAAATCACTCAGTGCTACATATGTTTTTGTTAAAAAATTTCAGGGTTTGTTTTATTTTCTATAGTGTCTAAAATATAAATAATTACATTTTAAATAAAATAATATAGGTTTTAACTTAGTATTATTAGGTATATACAATATTGATATCATAGTAAATTATTATATTAATAAAAATTTTTTTTATAATAACTATAGTATATAACATATTGGCCTACTGAAAAGTTTTATTAGCCTTGTTAGCATACCTTTCAAAAATTCGAAATGACACTCCTAAGTTAAAAATGTGATTATAGATCTTATAGATAAATTACCTTTAAGAAGCCCAGGTTAAAGTGGGAAAACTGCATTAAGAAAAATATTAAAACAATAGGATCATGAATCATATGGAGCCATGAAGGGACGTTCGACATTCCATAAGACAGGAACAAATGGCAAAATTTGTAATTAGCAGTATGATCTTAAAGGTTGGAACCAAAGCAGAGAAAGAGAGAGAGAATGAGAGAAAGATATGACTATAATGCGAAACAAAATTTACTAGTAGGTATCAAAAAACGTTGAATATTAAAACAATTACAGAGTATTAATTGTATAAATAAGGAGAAGTTCTTCTATAACATCAAGAAATAAATTAATTTTAATTTTAATACTTTTTTTTTTTTAATATGCATAAAATAAACCTATGTATTAACACAAATAATAAACTATATAATTATTCAAATTATTGTAATTTTATTTAAAATGATTTGTCTGTAATTGTGCGATGACTGTTCTAATATATTTATCTTTAGATAATGTAAAAAAAAATATTTGATTATTTATTTTTTATTCATTGGACGATTTAAAATGTAATTATTTACGTACTAATGCAATACACTCAAAATATAATTGTAATTATGGTTAATTTAATTTGTGCATGATAAAACATTTTTTTTTGAGTTCAAGTACGACTTAAAATATTTTTAGGTTCTGTTCAATTTGGATTCAAAAAAATTTTAAAATTCGGTTCAAGTTTGATTTGTTTTTAAGAATCAGGGTTCGACTCAACACTAAAAAAAAGTATCAATTACCCATCATATGTAATTATAGCTAAATACCTAATATTATAAACTTCATTGAATTTGATTAATTAACTTACGTTATCTTAATCATTACATATTATAAAAAAAGTACATAACATTATTCAATAGCAAAGCATTAATTATGTTTTTGAGGCGTTCATTTAGATAAAAAAAAAACACTAATTAAACATTTGTATTGAGGGGGCTCCAGCGTATCATATTTTTAGAAGTAATATTTATGCAATTTGTTTGACGTGAACATTTTGGCTATGTGTATGTGTGAGTAGTAAATGAACATTAGTAATCTGTTATCGCTTTTATCATGATGATTATGATGATAATAATAATATTTATAGGGGTAAAACACGATTGCGTACGTTCGTTATCGGCGATACCTTTTTTAGGTACACGATTGCGTACGATTTTACCTGATTTTTAACTAAACGATTGCGTACGAAATTTTAAGCGCTGTTGCCAATTTTCATACCGGTATATATGACCAGGGTTGGGATTTTATAGCATTTGTATATTTCTTATGAGATGCTTAAAAAATAGCAGAGTAAACTAAAAATGTGTTTCATGATACAGAGAAGTCAAATTAAACATTTTATTTTTCTAAAATTTGTCTTATATTTGAAATTATATTTTTGTCAATCGAATTATCAAGTAAATTGTAAATTCTTAGATTAAGTAAATAGGTCGATTACGCTGATGCAACGTCGTACAATTACAGAGATAATATTATATAGATATTTCTAAACCAGAGCGATTATACAATCGGTTAATAATGGGAGAGTGAAGAAAATGGCAAAAAAAGACTTAAACAGAATCCAAAGCACCATAAAGGATTATGATGAGTATAAAAAAATCCATAAAAATGTAACTCAATATTTAAAAGTAGTAGGCTATAGATGTCAAGGAATCGAAATTTAATCTTACTTATTTATTAATTACTTTTTTACCATTAACTTTTTTTATTAATTATTTTAGAACTTTAAATTTATTCAATATTTTTTATATTATTATTATTTTATATTATATTATTTATTAATACGATGAAAAACTTAAAATTGACAACGTTGCATACAATTTCATACGCAATCGTGTTTATTTATTTTTTCTTAAGGGTACTTTTAACTCATCTACAAACATACACAATCGTGTTGCCAAAAAGGACAAACGTACGCAATCGTGTTCTACCCATTTATAGTTATGGTATGTATTGAGAGTCTAGAGGAATAAACAAATATAAATAATAACTGTGAACGAACATATAAATAATCTGTTTTAAAAAACAGCGACGTTTTAGCCCACATTAATTAAAAAAAATACGAACATAAAAATATCATAATTAAAGTAGGTACCTACTTACTACATTTTATTTTACCAAAACACACACACAGTTTTAATAAATAAAGTAAGAATCATTTCGGTTAGACACTAATCTATTATTTACAATAAGCTTCGTACCTATATAGTTATATATTTTTATGGCATTAAAGTTAAAATATAAAAAAAAAAATTATTGAAATTTTGTGCAGCTACCTGTGTATATTACATTTCCTATATTGGGTTTGATTTTGAATAAAATAATATTACCTGTTTTTGTTACACTTGAATCATTTACGTAGTACACTGCTAAGTGCTAATAATAAATAATTAGGTACTTTACTATAACTACTTTACACCTTCAGTTATAAGTTATCACCTATTAAAAAAATATTTGAATTATAATTGAAATAGCACCTTTGAAATTAAAATGGATTTCCGGCCGAATTAAACTTAAGTCAAAAATTATTATATAAGGTTTTCTATATTGTGCATTTGTGCCGCACTTAAAACACAAATTCAAAGTCTGCAATCTGGCATCAATGATAAATTGATAAGTAACAAACCGGTTGCAAAATCGTGAACGAGTGAACAGATGAAGACCAAATTACCAAAACTAGTGGATAAACGGGACGGGTACAAAAGACAATAATTTGACCCTCGTTATTAAAATAATTTAGATTAGATAATATTATTATGTATCATGTCAGATATATTTTGGCGCGCATACTACGTCATGAATTAACGATATTCGGTAAGCCATATCATCGTTTCTTCCATGGCCATACGGTGTAAACAAAATATCAAATTGCTGCTTTATCAACAAAAATCTACAACATAGTACACACAAGCGTGTACTCGTTACCCAACAATTTTACGCGGTTAGGATGCAATGAGGCATTGACGACATAAGCATTTTGTAACGGAATTTTTGGTTCTACTTACGTTGAACGAGTTCGACCATACTTCATTCATACATCCTCGCTACCATTGTTTTCCTGCTTTTCTGTTGGCGAATCAATCGTGACTAATTGGATCATTGGTTTCTATGTTGAATAGTACGAAACAAACGTAAGTAAAATTATTTTATCATTATGTTATTTATGTAACGGTTCCAAGTCGAACATTTTTTTTGTTTAAGACTCAACGATTACGTTTTGTTCGTTAATATTGCAATATATTATATGTTTTTAGAAGTATAACTTTGCTATTCACTATAAAGCCCTAAAATCGAAAACGAATATTTTTTTAAATTAATATTGAATAGTGTGAATTGTGATGCGTGTTTTGTTGATATCCCGTCGTCTGTAACCGTAAAGGTGTGTTTAATGGTTGACAATATTTATCATTCGCTCAGTCTGGTTCATGATCAGGCCCCTACTATGACAAAGCTTATTATCCCTTACCTTATGTAAAAAAGTAAATTTTTTAAGTAAAATAGTTCATATACTCGTTGAGTGCTGTAGGCAAACCTTAACCAACAATTTTTATTTTTCCTTCAGACATTCTAAAACACTTGTTTTATCAATATCCCATCAGAGTAATGTTTATGATAATATAATTTTTCATAATATGAGCCATAGTTTTGTAAGATAACGCATTAAATATACATTTTTAATATTACATTCATCATAGCTAAATATTAATTTCATGATACCTAACTATTATGTATATGTTGACTAGGATGCTTTAGTGTTAATGATGAAACTGACAAGCAGACTATTCAGTGGTTTTGAGTTCAGTATAATATACAATATAATGGTCTGTCAAGACTTAAAAATGGTTCTTAAAACAAAATAATAAGAAGTGTTTTTTTTTTAGTAAAATACTTTTTATAACTGTCACCGTTGTAGTTTTTATTTACATTTTCAATATATCTTACCTTCCTTACCAACTTTTATCTTTAAACTAGGTTTAAATAATAAAATAAAAAAATTGTACGTTATGACTAATGAAATCTTTTTCTTATAAGTACCTATTTAATTTTTACACTGATTTTATTATAACTATAGAAGTCAGAAAATTATGTTTGAAGTTAAAACATGAATTATTAAAATTTGAGGGAAGTTCATATTATCTACAAGATCTTATATGAGGTGATCTTAGAAAATAGGTACTTAATGTTTGAGATGTTTTTATAAAATTTTCTAACAACTTAATATAAAATCAGTAGATAATAGTATTATTTGCACTATATAGTTTAATATTGATATTACTTGAAAAATTCCTTACACCTAAGTGAATTACACCTTAAAAAAAACTGCACTGGTGTCATATTCAACTTACTATAAATGGATTGCCCACCCAGGTAACAATTTTCACTAGAAATGACTAATAACTAGATATTTAAACTCTGCTTTTAAAAACTTTTCTATGGTCAAATAAATTATACTGTCAATTATAATAGTACCAACATTAAAAATCTAATTTCATCTTAATAAGACAACTAGAAACATTCAATCAGGTATCTAGGTATATTTTCAAAATTATACTTATATACCTACTTTAATTTATACACATTAAAAAATTAAATACAATAAGAACTAAAATAATAAAATTATTTTTAAATTACAGACTATTAGTAATAACTAATTGAGAATATTTTTTGCTTATGAAATTACTTTTAATACAATACTTTTTTAATAAAAAATCTTAATCTTTATAAATTTAATGCTAAGTTTTCTTTAAGTAAATATTTAACAAGACTAGTTAGTTTATGTAATTGCTTAAAAATCTTGTTAACTTGTATTTAAAGCTTGGGAAAATAAATATACCTATTTCAAAATTATTTTATTGTATTATACTCTGACTTGCAAAAGAACATACTTGTTTAACACATGTAGATTTACTGCAATGGTCATGTTATCAGTATATACAATTAGTAAGAGATACATTTCAACTAATTCCTCGTCGCTTGTATATTTATTTAGTTATTTATAACTTAAGATTGTACATTATATTTACCAAACCTGTATTTAATAATTTTAATTTTTGTTAGTATTAGTAACATTTAAACTATGTATATATATGTACTTTTTATTTTTTGGCTTATACTTGTTGTATAATTAATAAACTAAAAATGAATATTTTAAATTTGTACTTTTTGGTACATTCATGAAGAGGCTTTGTTACCACAAATATTACATTGTGCTATATGTACACGTAATCTGAATAAATTAATAAATATATTTATCTATATTGAAATTCAAATCTTTCAATAGCTTTTACTATAAAACAACTGGAACATTCCAAGCATATTATTTAAAATCTCAACTCCAATACAAATTCTCTGGAAATTAATTATCATTAAATTATTTTAGTTTATTCCAAAGTTTTTAAATTATTGAGTTTTTATTTTACAATTCATAATTCAACAAATATAATAAATTAAGATAACAGGATATAGAGGCCTGACATGAGACTTTTAAAATCAATCGACTGGTATTACTTATCTCAAACATAAGACAAAAGTTGTTTAATATTAAGAGAAAAAGATAATAATATTTGTTTGAATAATTAAACTTAATCATTTTAAGTAAGGTCTAAAGTTTTGAATTTACTTATATAATTGCATCTGTTTTTTTGTGTTTTATTTTCTTAAAAAAAAATATATATACTGTGTGAAAGGGCTAAACATAAAAATAAAAAGAGAACTTATTTGAATATAAGCTATTCAAAAATTTTTATGTTATTTAAATACATACAATTATGTTGAACATTAATTTGTTGATTCTACATCTATACTCCATATTTATTATTTATTATTATTATAATCTTTAAACTCATTTTACAAACTTTGTTTGGATATTGCCTAAATATATCGATGTAGTGGAATTCGTCATTTTACCTGTTTCAGATATTACCTTAAATGATACTTTTTGAACAAATGTATTTCTATCATATATTATGATACTTAAATTTGTTTCATTAAAAAACAAACTGAATTCATTTCTACTAGACATATAATGTAAGAATATTGCAGAAATGAATAAGTCAACTTAGATTAGGTTACAACGTTTGGGACGAACACTAAGACTGCCTAATGCCTATCTTATATCTATGTGTAAGAGTTGTTCAATAAATTCACATTTACTTTAATATTTTATTTTTTTTTTGAAAGCAATAGTTAAATATTAATATATAACGTTAAAAAGACGCCACACCAGGTGTGTTGTGTGTGTATATCTTACAAACATTTAACATATCAAATTTACATTCAGTATAACCTATCTTGTATTTTGATATATGGTATCCATGCTATCAACAACATGAATCTGTCTCAATAATTTTCACAGATCTGTTTAATGATGGCTACAGTGACTTGCCTGTACCCCACATTAACAAATTGTCTACCTTTGGGAGAACATTTTGTTAAGCTGCTTTTTATGACCTTTCTACCTATTACTAAAATATTAAATAATAAAAATAATAACAATTAAGTCCACTAAAACAGTTTTTATTAATAATTTATTATCTAATAATAATTCATACCATACTGATGTATTATTATAGAATAAGTAAGTAGGTACTTACTATTAAAAAATGTTCTAAATACAGCATTGTTTGGCCAGTCATTTCAAATTTATATTATTATTATTATTTTTAATTTGATTGATAACAAATATTAATAAATCCATTTAAAATAAGCCTGGAGACTTGCTTATTTGACCCGTTTGATAGTACTACTGAGTGCTTTCCCACCATGTTATTTCACATTATTTAATCTAGTATAAAAAATTACTTAATGCACAAACAAATGTATAAATTGTAATTATGTATTTCAATAATAATAAGAAAAACTATTCAAAATAAACTTATCTTTAAAAAAAAAAAAAAAAAAACAAATTAACAAAATTCAAAGCTGTTTTTTAATGTTTATTAATACGTCATGTAATCTTTATTATTGTTTCCAGGTGAAAATGGGCTTAGATCGTAAAAGAAAATCAATTAATGCTCTCCAAAGCACTGACAAAAAAAGAAAAAGCATAGCAGAAAAAAAACCTGCTTCTTCCTCTTCATCTTCTGAAGATTCTGATGAACAATCTGATCATGATAATGGATTAAATAATGAAGTAAAAAATGAAAATCCAACTATTAGCCGTTGGCCTCAAGATGACATTCAAAAACTGTTATCTAAAATGGAGTTGGCACTTCCTAAGAATGACAATCAAACATTTCGAAGTCGATTTACAAAACTAGATTGGGATAAAATTCAATTTGATAGTTATAGTAAAGATGAATGTCAATCCACTTGGTTAGCTATTCAAGATCAGCTTAGAACATTTAAAACTATAGGTGATCTTATTAATGATGCTAGAAATTTATTGGAAACTAAAGGCATTGATACATATCGTTCAAAAACAAATAGATTACAAAAACCTAGAACTGCATACATGTTATTTTACACAGAACTTCTTCAAAAATACAAAAAAAAACATCCAGATTTAAAATTACCCCAGTTGACACAAATTATTGCTGAAAAATATAATAAATTATCCCCTGATAAAAAACAAACATTAGTTGATAGAGCACAAAAATTAAAGACTGAATATATTGAATTGGTTGACAAAACAAATATAGGTTTCAAAGTTAAAGAATCAAATAAACCTAAAACTCCATTTCAAATTTTTATGGAATCGAAATCTTCAAATTTAGAATCAGGTAATGTTGATAAAGTTGAATTTCAAAACCAATTGAAAGAAAAATGGGAAGGTATGTCAGAAAAGAAAAAGTCAAAATGGATTAAATTGGCAAATGAACGAGAACAGACATATTTAAGCAATCTAAAAGAAGACCATAAAAATGATCCTGCTTTCACTATGCCTACAAAAAGTGCATTAACTAAAGGTGATAGAAATATTTTGGATTCCCAATCAGGGAAACCAAAAAAACCTCCGGTCAATAATTATGGTCTTTTCTCTAAAGAAATGTTACAAAGTAATGCATTAGATGGTGTCCCTCCTAAAGAAAGAATGGCATTATTGGCTAAGAAATGGAAAGCTTTTTCTAATGAAGAGCGGCAAATGTATTCAGACAAGTTGAAAGTTATAACTGAACGATATAAAACTGAATTTGATGCATATTTAAAAACACTACCAGAAAATGAACAACAATTGGAAATGGCTAAAAACAAAATAAAACCTAAAAAACCGGAGCCAAAAGTTGTACCTAGAATTAATGCTAGAGAAGTCATTTCAGAAAAACCCAAGGAAAAACTTAAGAAAAAAGGTACTTCACAGTATAACTCAAAAACTAAAACGTTCAAAAATGAACCAAAACCAGTACCTTTTAAAAATGCATTTGAATTATACAGAAGTAAATTGGAACCTAATGAAAAACATCCAATTACAAGTTTGGAAGATTGGAACAAAAAAAATGGAAAAAAACAACTTGCGTATGAAAACGAGCTTAAAGCTCTTAAAAAAGAGTATATGAAAAATTTGAAAGTGTTCTTAAGATCTCTTTCCGAAGAAGATTTGCAATTATATTTACAGTTGAGAAAACCTGAATTTTTAACTGGAAATAATGATTCTAGTGCGTCGGAGGATGAAGAAAATTCTTCATCTGAAGGTGATGACAATGATGATGATGAAGAGGATGATGATGATGATGATGATGATGATGATGATTCTGAGTAAAACAAAAATATTTATTTCTATTTTTAATTCAATAATAATACCTCATTCAATTATTTTTAAATTTAAATTAAATTGTATAAGTTAATTGTATTCCCATTTGATCCATATAATTTGAATTTTTAATTGTTGTAACATTTTGTTCATATCTTTTTAGATATTTATCCATTCAACAAATTTAAGTGTGTTGAATAGTATACTTGCAAATAAGTAATTGACATTGATTGTTTACTTTTATTTTTCTAATTATGTTTAACTAAAAATATTGACTAGTACTAAATAATTATATTATTTTTATTTATTTTTACATTTATAATATTTGTTAAATCAATTAAAGTGGGACTTCGAGTATGATTATTTCTAATGTGTTTTTTATGTACTCATAAAACAAATTTATTTTTACAATTAATTTAAATTTTAAAGTTGTAAAAAAAAACTAATCTAAGGGTTCTAATATTATTCTTTTTGATTATTTTATACAGATTCAAATATATGTTGTTATGGGAATGTAGGTATAGCTTTTGAATAATTTGTAATCAATGAAATTGTTTTTATGTTTCAATGAATCAATGTAAGGTTATAGTACTCTTAAATTAGTTTGTTAGTTTTTGACCTATGTTTAAGCCAAATCAATGTTAATACTTGACAAACAATATATTTTTTCTTAATAAATGTATTTTGATTTTTAAACATTTGTCTAGTTAACAAAAAAAGTTTATTTAGTTTTGTCTCTTTATTATATAAATATAAAAAAAAGTTTATTGTAACATCAAAAATACATAATTACTATTTTTTTTATAAGTATTTGAATTTGAATTTTCATGAAATTCATCAATGACATGAAGATTTTTAGATTAAGTGGAAAGTTCACTTAATTTATTTTATACTTATGGTTTGAAAATTTAATACTACATACGTTTTAAAAAATGAATAAATAAGGTAAGATAAAGCTACATACATTTGGGGGAGGGTATTTGAATTTCAAATGTTGATACTAATCTTAAATATATTAGCACACGTGTAAACTGTCATACCTGCTTATAATCGATTTCATTACAGGTAATTTAAAATCATAAACGATGATTTTACTTAACCAAGTCATAATCGTGATGGTATTTTATCTCTAGCCATATTTAGACAATATATAATGCGTTTTGATGAACATTTTCATGTCAACGCTTATTAGCTATAAATACTATACTAATAATCAAATAATTTTTATATACAAAAGCAAAATACCATCTATTTTTACGTTTAATTGAAGTACCTATGAGGGCTATACCCCCCTTAAAATCAAAGTGCTGGGGCAATTTCTCCTGTGAAATCAACGCCATGTATGTAGGTACCTACTGACAATAATAAATACCTATTTAGGCCAACGCTTAACAATACAGTTATACCAATATACACCTATACAAAATTACCAAATTTAATAGCTAATACTGTAATACATTATTTATAATAATTATCGATAATTAAATAATCCATGCGATGTTTTTGTCATCGTTTATCATTAAAAAGTACCTAACAATATAATAATAATATAAAAAAAGAGTTTTTCATTGTGTAGGTACTTATAAATTATAGTTCGATACCTAACCTACCGTATTGACTCCTGGCTCCTGCCCATAAAAAGTATGGTTACTTCTTGGCAGTCAATAGTCATGGATCTGAATCCGTATGAAAATTATTGAAGTATCTCGAGATTTGAACGATGCTTCTCAGGTAATATACTCATAATCAGGGCTAGGGGCTTAAAACATTTGCTTACCTATTTTTATGGATTGACTTAAAATATAGCAGAATGGTATGGAAGTGTATGTCATGTTACAACTTACAACATGTTCAATTATGAAATTTGAAAATGCTTTTTTTGCTTTAGGTACTGCTCAGTGCTCTGCAACGATATATACCTATAACGTCTTGCCCTCAAAAATATTGTCAAAATTCAATTTTATAATAGTTATATTTACTCTAGGATCAAAATTGAAATTGTATTAATGCGTTTTGTCCATGTTGTACGTGTGTAAGACGGAGATAACACATGCGGGTATGACGTCCTCTTAATTACATTTTTTAATTTTTTTTTAATATATTTGCTTACGGGCCCTTTTGGCTTTTATTCCATTGTTTTTAACCTATTAATGTTCATTTATTTTGTCTTCATTATTTATTAACCTATTTTCATATTTTTAAATGCATTTACCTGCGGGGGGAAGCATCTTAATTCATTCCTTGCTCTTTTAATAAATGTTTGCATTTTAGATTCTGAATGAAGTGATGAATATATTTATTTTAGTATAATGCGTGTTATTGACTAGGTATATAATAATAAACAATGGTAATTTTTAAATAATTAAAAATAATAATTTTCACTGTATGAGCAAATTTTCTTAAAATAAAAATAAAAATACGATTTACATATTATTTTTCTAAAATATTTAAAAATATTAATATTTTTAATTGAAAAATAAAAATATCATTTTAAATATTGAGCGGAGTGAGAATTTATTGATTTTACAATGAGCAATGAGTGTTTTTCTCTCTGTGATCACCTTTGGATCTAGTTGGTACTTTTTTAAAGAGAGGATTCAATAGTTAAAATTCCAATATTATTCTTTACTTTCGGTAAAAACAAAAAAAAATTAAGGAAAAAACGGTAATATTTACCTACGCGAAAATAGTTTAAAAAAAATTGATTTATTTTATTTTTATTAGGTATAATTAAAAAACGAATAACTGTAAAAACTTAATATTTTCACTAAATGCCTTTACCTAATTTTCACTCTGAATGTTTCTAAACTATTTATAGACAATTGACAATTTTATTACTTGTTTTTAAATTTTAAAGTGATAGGTGCCTGCTTCCACCATTTTTCCTTTGATTTTTATATTTTTCAAGATACGCTAGTAGCTCGCTCGAACAGTTTATTTTAAAGCTCTATTCGAAATTAATTATTTTATACAAATTGTCTTCAATAGGTAGGTACACTTGAATGGTAACTGAAGGTAAGGTGCGTGATAGAGAATTATTGAAAGGTAAATATTAATAGTAGCTATTTATTTCTATACAGGTATTATTGCTATGCTCGGTTTGCGTGACAAGCAAAAGTCAACGACTGAGGCGTATCAGTGGCAGTTAAGCCGTGCAGACTTTCCGTTATCGGCCCTCGGGACGTTTTTCAATAATTGCTGGGGTGATGTTAGATTGGACTACTTACCCTTTGTACTGTACAGTCATTATGAATTATGATTATACATTTATACACTTGTTATATAGACAAAATATTATAACACAAGAATATAGAAGACGCATAGAAATCTGTGCGATTTTATTACATTGAGGACGTAATTATTATCTCAAGTCGTGGTTCATCCGGTCCACAGGAATAAACTAAAACAAAAAAAAAAATAAGACCCAGCCCCCCCCCCCCCCCAGACATCGATATCAGCTGCGACGACGACAATATTATTATCGTCCTGGCGGGTAAAGTACGTCATAGCCCTGCGCGTACCACCCGACGTGACGTACTTGCGCGCGCGCCACCGACCCCAATATTATGACATTACCTATCATTTATCACACGGACGACGACAGCGACGACATTTGTGACTCGCGAGTGTCTACTGTCTTTTAGTGATCAGTATTGATTTATCGGACGATGTCGGTCTTATAAATCGTTACGGATTCGCGCGGCACCGGTCACAAATAAAATTGGCGAACGTCTTATACAGCATCCCTTCCTCGTAACCTATAGGTATTGTACGAGATCTGTACGGTAATAGATCGTAACCCGAGCTGCTAACTATACACCACTGCGACTACTACTGTGTTCGCTGATAACGGGTGTGCGATAATATCAACAAAAATAATAATAATATTATCTCGAAATATCTCGTTTCGCATTCGCCTGTCCGCGTCTCGACTCTTTTCAAGTCGCGTTGAAAACGTCGTCGTCGTCGTCGCCGCTGCGATTCCGAGTCTTCGGTACAGAACGTGGAAGGACTCTGCGGGGACCGTCGAGTGACGAACGAACGCGCCCATCATCGACCTTACACAAATCCCGAGAACGCGGCGGCGCACGCACGAAAAATGTGTCGCCGTTAAGACGTTGTGGCCCCCGCAACACACGCACGCCGGCTAAGTCATAGCGGTGAGTAACGCAGCTGCGAATTGGGAGCGTTTCGGCGACGGCCGCGATGATAATAAAATATGTTTTTACAATAATTATAATGATAATAACAACGTATATTTTACAATGCCGACGAGGCTGTTACTCGCTCGTATAACGACAATGGTATTGTATAAAGTTACAGTAATGCGCAACGGACGGTCGAGCGGAGGTGCTGCCGCCTCTTTTGTAAATTGCCGGTTGTCGTACAGTTATTAATTATTATAGGTAATCGTTGTCGTCGTTGTCGTCGCATTTAATAATATTACAACGTTTCGCTTTTTTTTTGTATACATATAATATTCTTTGGTTGTTTTTTATTCTATTTCCCCTACTACCGTCGATCGAGTGATGCGCTCCCGCGCGTGACTCGCCGTCATTATCTTTAGGCCCGACCCGCGCGTTGGCCTTTTCACCTCGAGATTACGTTCAGACGTTGATTAGGGCTGAGACCAATAGCGATACGGTCGTCGTTGGACGGCTGGTGGAGCACACAATGTGCAACCGACACCTCGCCATCGTCTGTTGTCTGTCTGCTGACAGTGCTCCTTGATTGTCGTCAAACGATGCAAGTGCCTTCGTGTGGCGATACTATGACGCCAGAGTCAGCCGACAACGGTCTGTGTGACAAGTCCATAACGCTCCGCAAGCACCGCAAAAATGTATTTAATAAATCAGGTGAATCTGTCTTGCCTACGTGTTACTTGTTCCATGTCGACTTGTGCCTCTATGGCTTACTTAACTTGTGTGATTGTCCATTTTATTTGAACGTTTTGAGTGTTCAGATTTGGTTTTTTAGCATGATTAATGATAGATGTCATTGGTAAAATGACAAGCTATTTGAAATTCATTTGGACGACACAGACAAGACTGAGTACTATTATTCTGTTTAGAATATTGTTGGATTAGATGTTGCTTTTAATCTGATATAATGATAAAATATTTAGTTTTTAAAATTCTAGGTGCAATACTATTAATATTCTTACATAAAATTTTGTTTGTTCGATTGATAGTTGTGAGTAAATAATATCATGTCCATATTGGATTGCTTTCTACTTTTTTCTCTTTAAATACAATGTTAATCCCATTTTGTGTATTAAAAGTTCATAAAAAGCATATATATGCTTTTATGTAAAATAAATAAATAAATATCTTGGTCTCTAAACGTATAATTATCCATCAAGGATATGGGTAGTTGGTTTTTTTTTTTACAACCATACATATTTCATATTTCAAAGTGTTCTAATAATGTTGCTTTAATAGTGGTTTAAACTATGTGTAGCATTGAGAATGGTAGCTGCAGAAATGACAAGTAATCAAGATAAAGATGTCACTCAAGTGCAATACATAGATATCAGTCCTGATTTTCTAACAACTGGACGAACTGGCAGAAGGAATGCATTACCTGATATACTAGGTGAACACAAATTAACGTCCACAGCTGACTTGCCTGACCGATTACAAGCACTCACAACAAATGGTAAAGTAGTTGATATTTGATTAAATTAAAATAGAAAAAAATAATGCATAATAAGTTTTTATCTTTAATAAATAGTTATACAATTATCCACTTGGACATTAATTCTTGCATTATTTACTATCGAATTGCTCAATATCTAAATGTTTTTTTCTCAGATAAATAGAAATGTATGTATATACCAAAATATAAATTAAATGCACAGATTAGGTATATGATGTATATGAAATAAATTGAAAACACATTCAAATAAAATTGATATTTAATTTAATTAATATAAAATTATATTTATATAATAATTATATTACTTTGTATAACTATAATTATTACTATATAGTATATTTTATTATATATATATATATATATATAATACTTTTAATCTCTTGTAATTCTAATACAGTACTCGAGTATGAAGTTATTATGTTATTGAAACTGATAAAGAAACATACTAATATAACATAATTATTATTTGATATAGGATCAATTCAATAATTTGATAACAATTTGTATGACTAAATATTGGTCGTAAATTGTTATTATATTTTTATAAATACATTCAATAATATGATTGTGGTATAATAGTATTAAAAAAAAAAAAAATGCAATAATTTAGGGTTCCTAAAGCTCCTAGGTTTTGATTTGATCAATAATACTGTTTTTAAACAGGGGATAAATCCACCGCAATTTTATTTTTTCATAGTTATTAATCTTTGTTGATTTTTGTAACACAGAGGGAACTGAGACGAGTAATATGCAGCCATCAACTAGTAGTGATTCAGACATGATAAAAACACAAAATGCAACGTGTTGAATGACTGAATGACATTTACAACTATATCTACTACTACTACATGTTCCGAAGGTAAAATGAAACAAAATAAACACGTCTAGATTGGCTAGATGTTGTAGCCTCAAATATTTTTGAGTTGAACAGAAAACAACCTAATAGTTTTAATATACTCCTAGTCTCCTAATAATCAGACCAAAGCATAAAAGTACTTTATTTTATTTTTTTCATTTATTTATTTAGTTCCGTAACTTTTTTTTTATCGAAATGTTTTGTTCCTCTATTCAATTGACTGTATGTAAATTTAAAAAAAAAATTGTATAAATCTTTTTTTTTTTTTTGTGAAAAACAATTATTGTAGTAAATATTTGATTCCTAAGTTATAGAAAATTATATGTTGTCCTAAATCATTTCCTAAACTTAAATTATTGAATTTTATATATGCTGAAATAATATATTTAAAATATAATAATAATCAAGTTAATTGCTTTTAATCAAGTATTGTATACGTATATATTTTGTTTGCAAAAGACTAAGAAAATAATATATTCAAGATCACTTATAATTAATCAGTTGATACATGTTTACTGCTACTTTCAAGCATAATTCACAGCTTTATAAACATAAATAATTGTTAATAATAACTAATATAAAATGTATAGATAAATAGCAGACAATAAAACATTTACTATAAAGTAAAAAAAAAAAAAAAATAGGAAAGTTTAGTGTTGATAATAATTACACACGGTCAGGTTGTGATATTTTAAATATTTTTCCTATTCAATATTTTTCTCATTTAACCATATATTTTTTTTTTTTATATAAATATTACTATTTTTTTTTCAAAGCTATTTATATTATATCAACAATTATTTAAGCTTATAAAAATTAGTGATGGCTAAACCTGGGTAATATTACATGAAATCTTAAGTAAATTAAATTACTTAACTACCTACGAATAAATAAATAGAAGATTATTTTATTATATTTAAAAGATATAATTTAGAGCATGTGTGAAGTATTACTAAAATAATATTGTATTTTAGAAGAATGACTGAACATAATTTTAAAACAAAGATTTCTCAAAAAATACCTAACTACTTTTAAAAGTTTAGTGTCATTATTAGTTCCTGTTTTTTGTTAATTTTGAAATTTTGAAATATTTTAAAATTTATTTATACATCTAGATAATTATTTTCTTGAAATTATATTTTGATTTGTGTTGCTGTTAAAATAACAATTTTCTACCAATTTTGGTTCAAAGAATGTGTCTTATAGTTTATTTTTTATACAGTGATAAATACTTTTTATTTTAATGATTAATATTAGCTATGATACATTTAATACAAAGTTGATAAATATACATAGAAATTATTTTGTCAAACATTCCAATAAAATCAATTGAATAAGAAACATGATTCTTAGGAATTGTAAAAAAATAAACATTGAACTACAATATTACTTATTAATTTTAAAATTAATGGTACATGTATTAATTTATATTTAAATGTGAACTAATAACCAACCTCCATTGCATTTTAATTGTACTTAACAATTTATAATATGAATACAAAAAAAAGCATTTTATTTTTAGTAATATTAAAAATAAACTACCGTGAAACACTCTTAAATGTATTTATTTTTGTTCCTATCAACTTTTTTAAATTGTATTTTTTTTTCAATTTATTATTTTAATAAGTTTATCTAGAGTAAGTTAAGCTTGTGTTATATTTTTCTGATAAAATTGATAAAGGTGATGTTGTTGAAAAAAGTGAATTTACTCTGAAAATTATTTATATTTATGTATTATTAATGACATCTTTAATAAAATTGTTGTAATAAGTGTTTAATCATAAAAATATGACTTGTGGTTAGTTAGTTTTTAATATGGCTAAAATGTCAGAATGAAAATAAAATAATTTGCCGGATATCATTTATAGTATAGGCAATTCATTAATTCAAATAATTTAAAACCAAAATGGGGTGTTTATACTTTTAACCTATTAACAAAAACCATAATATAGAATATTATAATCTTTTACTTGGTAAGATTTATATATGAATCTAATTTAATTTTTTGTTGACATATTTAATTTTTCCATACTTCTAAATACTATTTTTATTTTTTTAAATGTTAATAAAAAATCCTAAATACTCTAGTCTTAAAAAAATGCTTTTTTTAAAAATTAACTTATGTATTTTTTTTATGAGCTAGTCAAAGCATTTGTTGTATGTAGGCTGCCACTTATGTCAAAATATAGTTTTCTACAAGGGTTTTAGTTATTACATGGATTCAATTTTCAATCTATAATGATTCTGTGTATCGATTATTTCAATTATTATTTTTCCTAAATTGAAACTTATCCCTATTGGATTGATATTTATAATTAAATAATTAATTTATCTTAATCATACTGTTTTTAGATTAAACACTCTATGATATTTTGTTTTATATATTGAACATCTATTATTATTTATTGATTACCTATTTTACAATATTGCTATTCACTTTCTAAGATTAGATTTACTAATTATTTAGCACACAAAAGCACTCTAACTTTATAGATTTTATGCTGTTAATTATGTACTTAGCATAGTGAAATATTGAGTTTTGTTAATATTTATCCTACCTACTGTACGTCTAAGTCAATTTTTTATACGAAATTGTGATTTTAGGTAGATATGGTTTTAATATATTTGTACATGATAAACAAAATTAATTAAATAAAATGTAAACATTAACTATGTGTTATTTGATTTGTAATTGATTCTTCGAAGAGTAATAATTCCTTTAATCTATTACCTATTTAAAAATTATAACATCCTAGTCCATAATTTATTAAAAACAAAAAATGTTTAAATTTGTAATGGGTTATTATTTATTAAAGATCATACAAAGCGTTGTGTCTGTCATCAGAAAATTAAAAAATAAAACGTTTTCTGTTTTCACTAAACAAAGAACATAAATAAAAGTTGTACAAAAAATCCAGAGAAAACCGTGCTTACATGATTTTATTTTAATTGGTCAGAACCGTTCATATAATTAAGAGTTACTAGTTCTTACAAATTATATATTATGTATACAAATTTTAGTAAAATAAATATTTATTATTTGATAATAATTAAATAAAAGTCAAACAGCTACGTATTTCTTCGGCGTATCACAGGGGTGGAGTGGCTCAACAATTCTTACCGGAAAAAAAAGGTATTTTTAAGTCATTTTTTTTCAAATTTAATTTATTTTTATTTCTTGTCTTATTGGTTGATATGTGTTAACCATTTTTTGATTATTTGATTAGCAGATAGTTTAAAACAATTTATTTGGCCTACATATTGGTAGAAGCTATTACCAATTTATTGTCACATATTTTAATTTCTTCCTAACTTCTATTATAAACTATAAAGTAGTATCGAATATCGATCATAAAAATGTTTGACCATTATATGAATTATAAAACTCCCTCTAAGTAATTTCATAATTGTACAAAGGTATTATTTTATATTTACACAAATATATCACTAGAAATTTATATACCTATATTTTGTAAAACACTTAGCTTTTTGTTTTAGAAAATTTAATATAAATTATTTTACAATAACAATTTTTTCGGATATATTCCTATTATCACAGATAATACAAACATAATCTGCGAAATTGAGTATTATTGAATAAAAATTAAAGCCTATGACATTCACAATCATATTCCTGTATTTTGTTATTTTATTTAAGTAACTACCTACCTATTATTTTAATCATAACATAATATTAAAAGCTGTCTGAAAGATTATTTATAGATTGTGTGGTTTACTGGCTTACCGTTATAATTTTATAATAATGTACGACATAACTACGTAAGAGATTGAGTTATTGCGTAGGTACCTACTTATTAGTTGTTGAGACCACGAACTAAAATATTTTAATTCGTGGTTCACACCGTAAATTTGTTTTCGTTGTATCAACAGTCAACTAAAAATAACAAATTATTAATTGTTTTCATCATAAGACCATGCCATTTCTTTATAAGCAAGTCGGGCCACTAGGTATTGTCTCAGTTGCCCGGTGTGCCACTCCGTCCCTGGACGTAGTTATGTCATAATACTAATATTTTTGTTTTTGGAAATATTTTTCAATGTCAGATAAAGCTCTGATTAGTAGAAATAAATAATAATGATTGTCTCTCGTCAATATTTATGTTTAAAATAATTACATCATTTTGAGCTAAATAATTCATCACAGATGATTAAAAAATAATAGTTTCTACCTAAATATTGTAAAACAATAATAATTATAATTCTTTTTTATAATATTAAGTCATATTATAATTTATTGGTTAATTCAATATTTGAATTATTTATAAAAAAAAAAAAAAACTATTTTAATATAATTTTGAGTTCCTGTATTTGCTTCGTGAAGGGTTTTTTCTCAATTGTATAATTATTTATTTATATTAAAAAATAAAATACTATATAGTATAGGTTTTGAGTATAGATGCCTCGATTAAATAGGTCATTTCAAAATCTATAATTTAAAATGTCTAATAACCCAAAATTACGAGAAAAAAATTAAAAATGTAGTAGATACTTACTAAATTATGTATTTGGTATATATTTAAAAATTTTAGTATCATTAAATTTAAATAAATCGTGGTTTTATCTCTGTCATAATTTACTAAAATTTTTCCTTGAAATTACCTCTGAAGGTATTGAGTAATTAGATACAATTTAATACCAGAAAATGAGAACATAGTAATACATGTCCCGTTTTGACGAAGTCAAAGAATTTATTGTTCGTTGAAAATTTAAACAAAATTATTATTGTAAAACCATTAGCTCTTCCAGAATCTAAAATTTTTAAGAATAATTATATTTACTTTTATTTTAACTTTAAGGTACGCTTTAAACTTTAGGGTACGTTTAAGATAATAATTTTCCTATAATCATTGATATCAACACTTTTTTGCATATTATTATGAATTTTATATTCGAGTTGTAATTAATGTAAATTTATCGATGCATTATTAATCTCTTTGTAATAATAACTTCTAAACAGATGTCAGATTCAATATTTGGGTAATTTTATTTTGTTTGTCGCGGTGTACCTAGCACCTACCAATGGGTTATTGCTTATA